ATGAAATTTGTGCGTTGAAGGAAAATCACGAAATTGGAATCTACGTTGAGTGGCAGAGAACAAGTATTTTATTCACTTCGTAAAGCTAAATCTTTATGTGACACTCACTTGTGTGTAATGTTTCTCATACGCCTTTTAAGCTTTCGAAATTTTTTAATTTATTTGCATATAACGAGAATGCACACATTCTGTTATTACTAAACTCTGCTAAATAATCCCCGTATTCCAATAACTCGTTTTACTTCTATTTCATCAACAACCTAATCAATTTGCAATCTGTTTGCAAATCTCCAACGACAACAAATGCCTTGAGGTGCGTCTATGTCTGGGTTCGTGTGATTTTAGGGGATTGGGGAAAATATTCGAAATTGCTAGTTGCATATGGCCAACGACAATCGATGCAAGCCATAATAAAAAAAAAACACAGGAGACCCCAAAAAATGTTCGAGAAATATTTATGGAGCACACAAAAATTTCTGCAGCAATTTTCCGATTGTTGAGTTGGGAGGGAGCAGCAGTGCAGTGAAAAAATTGCGGCAGAAATACCTAAACAAAAATTTAATCGAAACTCAGTGAGTGAAAGGCGGGTAAAAGGGGCGAGGCACTTGCACTCGACGGTTCAGTTTATTAGTTTATAAAGTTCGGTTTTTGTTTGTGTGAACCAGTTGGGTGCATGTGAGCAAATTGCTTTGCCCAAACATATATTAAAAAACATCCACACAAACGCCGGGGAAATATATAGAAAACAAATAAAGGCAAAGCCGGGAAAACTTCAAACTCGGGTTTTTCCGGCAAGCGACAACCAAATAAAAAATAAAATTGTTGCTCCACTCGCTCCCTAATTGGAAACTTTGCTCAGCGTGAGGGTTTCCCCCAATTATAACCAAGGCCGAGATCTAGTTTTTTGTCATGGGGAATTTTTACGCCAGCAAACTTATTTTCCTGCTTCTCCAGTGCTTACCGCTTTTTGCATTTAGTTCATATTTTTAGATAACAATAATATGCACTTTTTGCTTCTGTCTTAATTTAGTTTGAAATTGTTTAGTTTCATTCCCTTTTTTAACTGATATGAATAAGGTTTTGTATTGTGGTAAAATGAAACCCTGGGGAGTTGAAATGTTTTTTTTAAGACCATAAAATTAAATTGTTCTGCTACAAAATTCCGTAGTTAAAACATGATAGAAATTTCAATTGTAAAATTAATTGAACATTTTTTCAAACAAAACAAAACTATTTTAGTTTTCCCGTTGTACATTTTAAATGAAATGGTAAAGAAGCAGTAGAAAGAAGTAGTACGCTAAGTGTGGCACATAATTACACTATGATTGGCTCCGATTATTGTTAGTCTTTTTTCAAGTATTTTCTTTGTAAAATCTCAGCACGCAAAGCCTATAAAAAGAACATTTACGAGTGCGTGATTTTTGTATTAATTCAGGCTTTTGGGGAAGTGGCAAAGAAGGTTCAACTGACTGTTATGTGAGGCGACCGCAAAATTGGCCAGACAAAAGACGAATCAGCCAAATAGAAAGATTTCCATGACAAATGTCATAAAATGCGTTGAGCGAAAATGTTTTTTTTTTTCTGTCGTCGAGGATTTTTTTTTTATCATAATTTGTCATATTTTGTCATTTAGCATTATAGTTTTGAGGAGGGCACATATCTCATTTGGATTTTTGGGCCGGGATCGTTTGGGGGGTATATTTCCTCAAATGCCGGCGCCTATAAACTCACACATGTGTGCGATAGTGTGTGTTAGCTGCTTGACAACAGCGGAAAAGAACGGAAATGTTGCTGCTGCCTAACCGAACCACCCCGAAAAAAAGAAGAGGAAAACTCGAAATGGGGACCAAGACGAGGTGAGCGGGGATTCTCCAAACAATGAGTTTGGGCCAAGTCCATGCCAAAACGGACATGCCAGCGGCAACAACAATAATGCTGAGCACAATTTTGGTGGCCGATGCCAAGAAAAAAGGCTAACACACATACACGGAGAGAAACAAACACACAGTCTTAGTGAACGGCAGCAAACGGAAGAGACTTGACAACATACGCAACATGGGCGAAAAATGAGTGGCGACGACGCTGGAGACGGCGCACATGGCGTATGAGTGACGAAGCTCCGGCTTCAGACTCCAAACCCAAAATCGAGGGGGAAAAAAAGCCGAAAAAAAAAAAGAAAACCGACAACTGAGGCACACGCCCCGCACAGATTTGATAGTTTTTATCGATTTAAGTGGATTTTGGCCTCACACAAAACGAGCTTGCACTGAGGCGAAAGAGATGGCAACAACGGCACAGAAAAGGACAGCAAGAGCGGGCGCCAAAAGTGGTGAAAAAGGGGAGGCAGGGACATCGCAGATATATAGACAGACAGCCTTGGTTTTTGGCAAACGTCGCGGCCCCAAACAGATAAACATAAAACAAGCAGAAATGTGCAAACAGTTAATTCGTTTAGAACGAACTGAGAACTACCCTTACTAAAATAAAATAAAAATTTGCATTAAATGTTTTTAGCTAATTTCTTAAAAAAAAAAAAATTAAAATTAAATGGAAACACTGAGTTTGATTGTTTGTTGAAAAACTTGTTAAACCGTTCTTGATTAATTTGCTATTATTGAGTTTGATTTATTAAGTTGAATCATATTTTAATCTAAAAAGATTTTTCGATTTAGTGTACAAAACCATATTCAATCTTTACTCGAGCTCTGCCGATTTGAATAGAACTCTTTATTCCACAAGAGCATGCAAACATCATTGTAGTCCGGTGATGTGTGTCTTGGCAGCCGGCATAGATAAGCGTTCCTCCATACACAAAAAAAAGTCAACAGAGAAAGAGTGGAGCTGCTTTGACATCCGAAATCAAACCCCAAAGTTTTGCGTATAAAGCATAAAGCTTCGACCATGAATTGTTTAACTTTTCGCCCAGCTCCAGCATTTTACTTTATTATTTATTTTTTTGTAGTTGCTCAAGCAGGAAGTCTGTGCGTGTGCCACGCCCACCCTGCTCTATCGCCCCTTTTCTTTTTTTTATCAACACTTTTGCCGGGGGGTCCAAGCAAATGCGTAAAAATTATGCCACAGCTTGAACGACTCGACACGAGCAAAAGGAAAAACGCACAAAAAAAAAGTAGGAATATATAAAAGGAAAAAAGGAAAAAGAAAAAAAAAATGGGAAAACAAAATGCTGGGGATACGGATGTTGGGGAAACCAAAGCCGGACAACCAATTTACTTTTATTTTATAGATGCCTGCTTGAGGTTTTTCTGGAATTTTCTCCATCATATATATCCATATATATATATATATAAGGGGTTCCTTGTTTCAATTTTTTTGTGTCGGCTGAAAGGCGTTAAATATTTCCCTTGTATATGCATAATTTATGCCTACCAGCAGAGCCAAAAATAATAAAATGGAGATAAAAAATGTATTTATTTTGCGCATATTTACGCATGGGCCAACTGAAACTATTGCCCAACAACTACTGCGATTTCGAATGGAAAAAGTGCCCGGCTAAATGCGCATAAATATTAAATGAGCTGGTGGAGAGTGTATCAATTGTTCTGGCCCCCCATCTGGATATCCCACGGACTGGATCTGGTTGGAAGATGATGATTTAGTTTTCAGCACTCCATTGCAATAAATTCCGTTTGCCAGGCCATTTCCAACTGGTTTTGTCAGGGCGACTCTTGTCTGTCTACTCTCCGTACTCCCGATATATGTACATATATATATTATAGTATGGTAGCATTTATAGAGAAATGTACAAACGTATATGTACGGAGGATCTCTTCTAACTGCTTGGCACTCAACATTATAAATTGCCGCATGAGGGGCCCGGGGTTCCAGCAAACTGGGCAGAATCATTGCAGCCAAACAAAAACTTATTATTTATATACACATATTTGTATGTTTGCAGTGCTCACAAAGTACTAGTGGGATTGCAGAACGGGGCTTCACTCTAATAAATAATTATCGTATTGTTTAAGTCTCGAATGGAATGCCATAAATCATGACTTGGCCACTAGACGTCGCGAGATATTTGACTCTGAATTATTATCATCACAGTCACATCAGACTGATAAGCACTCTGGCGACAGTGCGAGCAAAGAAGGAATCCAGAGGGAGAAGGATATTCGGACAGGGAATGAGCATCCTTCGGTATTGGGGGAAAATTATGGTAGTGTAACCTCAAGTAACTCGGTCTTTATGGCTGTCATAATGTACAATTTTGGTACTCAGACTGGTTTGTACTAGTAGTTTAACATAAATGAAAATTATAGTCTTAATATTATTTGTTAAATCAAAGTGAACTATTTCCTTCTCTTCTGTAGATGTAAACCATTTCCCAGCTACTAATTTCATATTCAAAGCTGTCGTCCATTTTGAGGAGCTCCGTTACTTAAAACTCTTATGAATATCTAATCTGTTTTGTCTTCAAGCCAGCCCGCTCAGCCAACAAAGTTGAAGGGCCTACCCAGGGGCCAACGAAGTGAGAGGCACTTGTTACCAATACGCTCGTCGGCTTTAGCGGCAAAATTGCGTTCGCCACAAAACGTTTGCCCTTTGGCTTATAGCCCCCAGCTCTTCAGCACACAAGTAGATGGGTTTTCGGGGGAGGGACACATTATGAGTCCCCAACGTACACTGAACGCGTCAAAATGAGCCAAAATCCAGCCTTAGAAAAACACAAAAATATTCAAAACTGACTGAAAAGGGAAATTTAAGCCAACTCCCAACCGCTGGGAACGTAGTATAAACTCTGGCCAGTATAAAGGTTTAAGAGGAAAAGCTTTTAAGCGGAGTGCCGCAGCATCAGCCGCATCAACATCGTCGTGGTATCCGGCAGTGTAGGCCCAAATGAAATGCGGAACAGCACAGCCAATGTTACCGCAACTGTGCTGCAATGTTGCGGCTTTCAATCAGCGTAGGTGGATGCCCATTTTCACAAAAATTGGATGAGTTGGAAAATTTTCTAGCCCAACAAGTAAACTCTGCAAACGTAAATTTAATAGGCGGTCAGGCCTTTGATTTATTTACACATGTGTAGTGAGAATACAATAATTCACTTTGATGCTCATATTGATTTCAGCTTGAATAAGTCGAATTCAAAAATCGCAATTCACTATAAAGACTAACTAAATGTTATAACACAGAACTTGATGGCTTTTTTCGTTAGCGTATTACGGACCTGCAGTTCCTCTCAAAAACGGTATTCAATTTTCTTTAGAAGTCTTCGGCTTGCACCTTTTCTTTGGGAGAGGGCATTTTAAATCTGTTTAAAAATTCAGATTTTAACTTAAAGAAAACTGAATGAGAGCTCAGTTTTTTGGTAATTATTTTTGGCGACTTTATTCCCGAATGTTTGAATCTCCTTAAAAAGTCAGATCTATCTTTAAAGGAAACTGAATGAGAGCTCATTTTTTTGATAATTGTTTTTGGCGACTTCAATTCCGAATGACTATAGCATTTTTTACCTTCATTACGATTTGATAGCTTTACAAATCGAGGCTCTTTTTTATGAGGCTCACTTTGATGCTTGGGTATTTGATCCCCACCTTCAGGCTGAAGGTTTTCTACAGGTCTTATTAGTAAAACACTTTCTCCGGCAACTTTCCTTTCATAACGTCGTTTTCTGGAATGCTCCCTAGCGACTTCTCTTCTGTAATGCTCGGGATCAAGATAATCCTGTTTAACATTTTCAGTCTTAGCTATTTTAACTGCAGATTTGTTTCCGATTTGACGATTGAATAAATCCTTCGGATCACTGTTTTCTTGTACAATTATTTGAGGATTTGTTCTGTTCTTGGGCGATATATCATTCCAATCATTATGCTTGCGATACGTTTTAATGATTGAAGGTAACTGTTCAGTCTTTTCTTTTCTGTTTTCCAAAACTGTGCTTTTAATTTGCTTTGCTGATCTTAGGAAGATGATGCTTTTCTTTTCTGTCATAGGGGTTGTTATACGGCGTAAACTCAAAGAATCGTTTTCGCCATGATCGAATGTTCTTCTTGACAAATTTCTCTTCATCATCTCCTTCCAGTAATCTAAGGGGGTTTGAGTTCTCCTAGCTTCATTAACTTTCTTTAATAAGATGTCCTCCCACTCTCTTTTCTTTTCATTATCAACCGAATTTAGAGGTTTTTCATAGTCCAGCATTTTTGTTTCCCTAATAGCGGGTAAGAATCTGTCTTGTGCTCTTTTATAAGGCAATAAACTGCTGGAGTTTTCATATGAACTTTTGAAACTGTGGTACTCTTCATCCATGGGTAAACTTCTATATCGGGGAATTTCAGGAGGTAGACCTCCACTTGGAAGTCGAACCATTTTCTGAGGATCCCTGTGAAGCCAACTCCAAGGCATTCCGTTGAAATAGGGTTCGGGCATCATGAAACCACCAGAGAATCTGCGACTGTTCTCAGTACAGGGTATTACCTTTGGTATCGGCGGTCTTCCTTCTGCAAATAACATTCTGGAGTGTTGATTTTGCACGACTGCAGCATAAAGGTTCGAAATGCTAGCAATTTGCATGAGTTGAGCAACTTCTGGCGAAAGGTGTTTCGCTGGACACCTCGGATTGAAATCGGAAGCCAACAGGGAACTTCGCAGCTCGTGTTCACAGGCCAAAGGTCTCAAGTGCTCTGGTAAATCGGCGTATGGATTTTTAATTCCCTTAGATCTTTGGGCCCTATAAAGCTCGCGATTGCCGGCCTGGCAATGACACCGATTGGGTGCATAGCCATACGGAATGGACTCATCCGAGGGATACATCTCTAGATCGCCAGGTCTTTCGTAACCCAATCGCCTGAGCCCTGCCCTCACTTCACTTCCCGGCGAAGAGACTTTTGCGGTGGGTTTGCTCATCGAAAACGGTGTCATTGCATCCTTGCCACAATAACCAGGATTGTGAATGCTGCTAAGCACACTTGCCGCACTTTTGCACCCTGGACATTGTTCAGACCTCTTGCAACCCCGTTTGGGTAAGTTCAGAAAGTACTGCATCATGGTTATCAGGATGAGAAGTGTCCTTGTGGGTATGGGCTTCCTCAAGTTGCCGCACTCGTCGAAGATTCCGTAGTAAAGCTCACAGGTATCGGGCAGAACGAATGGTATCTTCAGCGTATTCCAACCCATCATCAAAGGGTAGAGGATCTTGGCAAAGAGCTGCAGGGTCAGTTGATGCAGAAACTGACAGACCGTGCTGGCCGACTTATCCACCATCTTGGCCAGCAATTGGATCATTCCCAGGTTCCTCTGACCCCATCGCCTTTCCCTCGATACGCAACAGCTCATCGCCTTGCGTCCCTCCAAATATGGCCTGCAACTTTGGACCCGATGAAGGCGGGGAATCCCCTGAATACATGCCAAAGGATCCGTGCGATCGCTGTGCGATCGGCAACAGCAGTTATTCATTTTGGCCTGACCGTCTTGGATTTCCGAAAATGCGGTGTTCTTATACACAAAATTTTGATGTTGCCTAATTCAGGCAATAGTTGACTGACACTTGTTTAACAACAAAAAACTTCAAGCATGCTACGATTATCGATTATAAAAAAACAAATTCAAAACCAATAGGAAGACGAGTTAATTTATTTCTTTCTTTTAAGTATATAATTTTTTATGTGTAAGTGACAGAACGTCCATACAATGGTTGCATTGAAGCACGATTTTTGGATTTACTTGATTCACTGAATGTCGAGTGAATTGAGTACCGCTTTTCAACATCCGCGATTTGTTTCCTCAAGGTAGAGCGTCTATAGCGCTTAATCTTTGACGATGTGAACTCAAAATTTTGATTGAGACGGGTTTGTTTAGGACGTCGTCGCTCCAATGTCCAAGATTTGTTAGGATCGGAGGGCGCATAAAAGAGCATAGGGTCTTGATCGCCATTGTACTTTCGTTGCTTGGAAGCGACTGGAACCTTTGGATAATTTTCTCGAACTTCTCCGAGAACGGGCGGTATTGGTCGCTCTGAAGCTATCTGCACAATTGCATTGTACAGCTTTGAAATCTCTTTGGCGGTGGTCATCTCACGTAGATAATCGGCTTTTGCATTATTTTTCCTTTCAAGATCGATTTTTTTCAGGGATCTCCTTAACTCATCTTTCGTAATCGAGGTTCCCTTTCCTTCAATTAGATCCCTCAATAAAATACGAAGACGTTCTGTTCTAAGATTTCCTACGGGACCCACATAGCTAACCTTTCTAGGATGTCGGGTCAGAGTTTTTAGTATATCTTTTACATCATCACTTGGTTTGGCATAAGCTAGAGCAAGGGCATCGTTGAGGAAAACCGATTGTCGTCCAAAGGCTTTTCTTTTCTTCCTCTTTTTTGGCAAGCTCTCATCAGATTCTGATTCCAATATTGTCTCGGGCTTAATCACCGAATAGAATTCATTTCTTTCTATTTTCTTTGGAACCCAATCATCAACGTTATGAGATAAAAATCCCGGAAAATTGTATTCACTAGGTTCCGGAGCTGGACTAATTACTTTCTCTGGGCTTTTAACTTTTTCAGTATTCAAATTTGATTGGCTTTTTGCCTGATAGCCAAAAGGATATGTCTCGCAGATTGACGAAACCTTTTGGCATTCAGGCGAATCACCATATAAAGAATTCATCAGTAACGGCAGTAACGTATCAAGACTCCTTGGATCGATGGGACTCCTCAAGTTGCCACGGTGATCGAATATGCCCATGTACCGGTCACAGACATACGGATTACAAAGTGGCACATTGCAGGCGTTCCATCCAAAACCCTTGGGGTTCAAAAGACTGCTGTACTTCTGCAGGCTGAGTTTGAAAAGGAAGCCATCGATTTCCTCCGGACAGTATCCAATTAGTTTAGCCAAATGCTGTATTTCCACTTTGTTCCTCTGTCGCCAAAGATGATGCTCCTGGGATAGACAGCCAAGTCTAAAACAATCTCGATGGCGTTTGAAATCTATTTTCGGTCTTTTGGGACACAGTGCTGTTAAGCCGGAACATATATTATATCTGATCATCTTTTCGTGGATACTTTAAATTTGGATAGGGAGATCGAATTTGAATACCACTAAACCGAATAGAAAGTTTGGACCACGAGGACATTGTGGTCAATAGGAACAGTAATTTTGACTAATCCAATTTCTTTTTTAAGAAAAAAAATTGGCAAATAAATAAAAGCCAGCCAACGAATAATCCCAAAATTTTCATCGAATATCTACAAGTTGGTGGTGGGATTAAATCAATTGATTTTGTAATCTAGTCTACAAGAAAATCTTCAAAAACTTATAAAAAAGTTTTAAGCTGATTGGCAGGTGTAAAAACCTTCTTTTTGTCAGAACCTCAATATTTGTTGGAGCATTGCGCCGACTGACACGAAAATTAAATAATGGTCTTCACTTTTTTTATTTGGCCCACGAAACGTGTTCGCAGCGTAAAAAGGTAAATTTGATTATGTTAATTTCTTTTCCTTCTCTTCTCATACATTTATTATTTTTTTTTGAACTGGCGAACACACCCAAACCCGAAAAGGAAATTAGGCCCAGAACGCTGATGGACAAGTGTGTGTGGGCCAAGCAGATAAAAGAGATGAAGACTGAGAAGCGGAATGGGTTGAAAGTCAATAGCAGCAATAAAGCGACGGTGGGATTTTTGGGCCTAAATAAACACGCAACTTGGAACGCTAAAAAAGTTCACCGACCTCCGACACAGTTGGCCAGTTTTTTTGGGCAAAACTGAGCGGAAATGATCAACAGTTATGCGCTGCACTTGTGCAGGTAACTCTTTTCAGTGTTGTTTTTTTTCGCAAAACAAACTCCTCAAATTCACACGTATAGTGGGTAAACTCAAACAGACCGTAAAATTAATAATTACAAAATTGCATGTTCTTTGCTGTTATCATGAGCATAAATAATAAATTTGTATGTCAAAAATCTAAGCGCAGATAAAAAGTTACACGTAAGCCTCAACAGCTAAAATAACGACATCATTTTAAATCTGAGCGTGCCATTTGGGAATGTTTGGGCAATTAAGTTAAACTTATTTGATGGGGATTTTTTTGTATAGTAAGCCTACTTTGTGAAAAACCATCAGAGAATCATTCACAATGAAAACGTAAACATTTATTTGTTCTAAAAAACAAACTAAGTGTTCTTGAAAAGTAAGTGAATTTCGTTGACCCACTTATTAAAATTAACCTGATTAGCCTTACAATTGTTATTTCATTCAATGAGTCATTCATTCAACTTGTATTAAAATATCTAAGAGAATCTATAATAGTATTGTGAGTAACACAACCCAAGTGAAGCAAAGATACATATAACGTTTTTGGATTTAATAAATGTTTATTTTTTAGGTTTTTTTAGGCATACTTACAATCTTAAAAGATCTGCAGCTAGTATTTCAAACTTAATCCGTCCCAAAAAACTTCATTTAAGGTCGATTAAATATTCTTTTTGTAATTTTATAAAAAAAATATTATTATTTTACTGTCGATTTAATTAATATTTTTATAACAATTAGCTAGTTGAAGTTTGTGAAGTGTTTGTTTTATTTTTTAATTTAGAGTAAAAGTTTTTAGCAAAAACTTGACAACCTTTAGAAGGTTTCTAATTTTTGTTTTTGATTATTATTATTTTATTTTTAAATTGCACAAAAATTGTATTGTTATTTTAAATACTTATTAAGTTAATTCGTATTTATTATGTGTATTAAATGGTTTGCTGAAAAAATAGTTAATTAGATTTGTTTTTATTGGCTTGTTTTGCGTTGCTTGGACAAATCTATTTATGAACACAACTTCAGTAAATATTCTTGTTGATTTTCAGCTGGATTTATTTGTATTGCACTTTGATTGTTAGTTTAATTGGAATGCTTTAGTGTTCGATTTTGTATTGCACTTTAGCCCACACTCTGAAAAGTAGAATGATGCATTAGAAATGTGTTTTCTATTCCAGACCCAAATTGAGGTTACACGAGAATCACTTGTTTATAATTCGATAGCAGCAAGTAAATAATTTTTAATTGTTTATTATGCCCGTTGGAACTGCTGTTTGCCTGTGGCTGTTTCTTTGTATCTACAAGTACTTGTATCTGTTTTTCACTCGCCATATTTATCTATCGATAGAAAGCTTTCGACTCTATAAATTCTAGAAACTTATCGCTTCTCCCCCGCCTCCGTGCAAAAGTATGCGATAAGTAAACGATAAATTCTAGCAAAAATTTCCATGCGGGGTGGAAAACTCCAAGTTGGGCCTACCTTTGATTTTTTTTGCACTTAATTTTTCGGGCTTAGTTAATGTACAAATTAAGTTTTGCGGCCTTGAAGTTTCCGGATGCTAGAAAGTTTTCCTTGCCAATTGATGGGCGGCTTAGTCAAAGTATCCGCAAGATTTGTGAAGGTGCAGATAAATATTTGACTGCAGTCAAGTGAGATTAGGCTAGGTCAGTTTGGAGTCATAACTCGTAAAGACAAACTTTGAAAATGCAATTAAAGTCTTTTACAGTTCATTGATAAAAATATTTCGGTAATTGGTTTTAAGTGGATTTAACAAAACTAAAAATGGATGTTCAAACATCGCTGCAAATTGGTTTGCATAAAACTAAAAGTGAATATTTAAACTTTTCTGAGAATAAGCTTACGTTATAAGCTTAGCTAAGTTCCAATTCCAGTTAACTATTAAGTAAAGCAGTTCTCTAGAACATGCAATACCTTTGTTATATTATATTATAAACGATTAAAAATATTACTTAAGCGCATTGTAGTGTTTTTAATTATATTGATAGTTGTTTTAATAAAACTATCAGACAAACCATGAACTGAAAATAAAAAGGAACAAATTTGTTTGACGATCACACTTAGAACTTTTTTTATGACGCCAAAACGAGTTGGTGGTATGTGTTTAGTTTTTGCGGATCTTTATGTAACCTCAATGTGGGCCAAAAGAGACAAAGTCGGCTATAAATTCAATAAAGCAAAGGCCAATTTTGCACTTTTCTTAGGACTGTTTTTTTATAGGGTTCAGTCTTCTTATTTACACGCACACACACACACACACGAAAACGTTGTTCTGGGCTGTTTATGTTTTTTTCTGATTTTCTTTCTTTTCCTTCTTGATTCTCTCTCCCACACCAGCTCAGCCACACAGTCCCACACAATGCACAGTGAAATTCCGCTACACCGGAAATTACAATTGAAAAAAGTGGTTGGCCTTTGTATGTTGTTTATTTTTCTTTTTCATTTGGTCTTTTTTTCGAATATTAACTAAAACGTCACACGAAATTATTGTTATTATTTATGATTACGGCGATTGTTATGGTTTTTATTATTATATAGTATATTTCTTTCATATATGAACAGGATGTAAACCCAAATAACACCAAAAAGTTTTAATAACAGTTTATAGTTTTTGAACTAAATTTAGTTGTGATCATGTTTTTGGTTTACATTTTTTGATTTCCAAGCTATATCACTTTTAGTTATTAAGTTGGTTTGCATAATTTTCAAAAATCTGTTGTATTTTCAATATGTATTTTGTAGCTTTCTCGATTTTTTCGCACTCATAACACACTCACTTTTAATTGTTTAAACTTGTAGAACAACAAATGTTTATTGCAGAAGGAGCATGAAAACACACGACGCGCTGCCCTTCCTCGATCCCCTCTTCGACGCTTTTCCTCTTCAGTTTTCCGCTTCTCAGCTGCGCTGCCAAACCGTACAGTTTGAGAGTTAATATCGGACTGGCAGCAGCAGCCGATACGAATCGGCGCACGAGTCGTGCGAAGCCCGAAGTCCGTTCTCATTGGAACCCGAAAAGTATCTCAAAACTGGAAGGCGGTACTGGAAGATACTTCTCGCTCAGGGCCCCGCATATGTCATTTGTTGTTGTGCGAGTATAACAAAAACAAAAAAACAACGGATAGACCCGCAGCACAGCTGAGCGAAATATTTACTACACACTGGCGGGTAAGAGCGATTTATCTGAGAGATACAAAAGCGAACGAACGACCGTCACCGCAACGTAGTAACCCACACAGATACAAATTGGTCGCATACATTCTCGCCCAAAAACCGGCATTCCTGTCAGTGCATTAAAAAAAAGAAGAGAGTTTTACAAAAGACACCAGCTTAAGAGCGCCGCTCTTTGAATAAACATCTTGAAAGCTATTTCAGTTGGCGATATTTTGTGATTTCCCGGTTTTGGCGTATTTCCCCAAGTTTCTCCCATTTTAAAATTGATTTCATCAACTAGTTTTCGCTGGGCAAGTATTATTAATTGCATTATGTTGCCCCGAAATTTGAAAAGTTCTATAGCCGCTGCTTTGTATTTCTTTTTCCCAGAATTTTAGTGCGGAATTTGCATTTTTGGTGAATAAAAATAAAATCGGATTGCAGCTAGTGTTCTAACTGTGGGGGAATCCCAAGAGCTACTATTTGTGATTTGATATGTTGGATTTTTTACACTTCACTTTAACGAATTCTCAAAATATTTTAAATATCAAATAATTGATTAATAAACAAAATTTATTTTCCTTGAATTAACAAAAATAATCTAAATTCCGTGAACCAAAATAACCTTTGGATGGACCAACAACAACATTGTTCAAATTTGAGCTCTCGTACCGAAAAACTCTGCCGCAGCATAATTGTTTATTGATAACCTCGAAGGGGACCCAAGACTAAAGCCAATAAACGAGATTTTCTTCATTTGAATGATAACATTTTGAACTTTGACAAAGCGAATGCCGAAGTAATTGGAGACTTCGAGCCCAAGCATTTATGTTAAGGCAATAACTCAGAGCAGCGAGTCAGAGTCAGAGGAGTATCGTTTTTCCACACAAAAAATAAATTGAAAACTTTTGAGAAGTGCCCCAAAGTAATAGCAGAAAATAATAATAATGTGTGGCCTTTGAAATGCGAAACGTTTTATGGTTGCATGTATTCTTTTTTTTAATATTTTGTTGGGTTTTTTTATTCTATTTTTATTATTTTTGTTTTTGTTTTTCGTTTTTTTTTTTTTTTTTAAAGAGAGTAAAACACAAAAGCCATAAGCTAAAACACAAACTAAGTAAGAATTGTGTTAGTTCGCATCATCATTATCGCGATGATGATGATGACGATGCTACACTACACTCTAATAAAATTTACGACAATGCGAATGACTACGGCGACGACTCAGTCTCAGTCTCAGTCTGAGAACAAGATAGAGATACGGAGGCCGAGGAAGCGGTGTGCCTGCTAAGCCCTGCAGTCAACTAACCAAAACTAGCAAAGACCAAAGGCCCAAAATGTATCTATATAGCCCCCCGAAACCCACCTCTCCATACATATATACATATATATATGTATGTGTATATATGTTTGTACGTATCGCTGCTCTTTTGTCTGGCTCTGGTGTGGGAAAGAATGCAGTGAAGGGAATTTCCAAGTCAAGACTTGGCAAGCCATGGCCGTAATGTGTAATGTATCTCTTGGATACATTTTTAAATTGTATGCCATACGCTGCTGGGGCTGTTTTGGAACGTTGACAATGCAACTGTAAATGTATCTGTGGCTGTGTATCTGTATTTGTATCTCTGCTCCAGCCAAAAGGCCAACAGCATTTGCATTGGCCATTGCCAATTAATCAAAAAACCAAGAAAAAAAACAGTAAAACGCTCAAAAAACCAGAAAAAAAAAACCTGCAATTGATTTCAATATTTCAGCAGCATTGTATCTTTCACACAAAAAGAGCTGTATATCGTTGCGTAAATCAATATGTATAGACATATAGTATTGCCGTTTTTTTCGATATCTCCGCCCGCTGCCTATTCCCTCTCGAATGCCACGCCAAAAAATGGCCCGAACCGAATCTGAGATGTACATACATACATATCGGTTTAAGATAGTATTAAAAAAATTAAGTTATGTGTTTTATTTTATTTTTATTTTGCATGGGATTTTAGGATTTATTAATAATGGTTGATTTATAAGCTAGTTGCTTAAGAAAAACGAATAAAAAATATATTCCTGTGTAAAAGATGCCAATGCCTAACAAGTTATTTACAATTGGAAAATATTTTAATAAATCCATTAATATTTATATTTTCAACAATTTCTTTTTCGCTGTTCTACTATTTTGACCGTATCTGTATCTTTGAATTTGTTCAACGGAGTGTTTACCTTTCCCTTGTTGCATGCCTCTTGTTGCACTTTTCGTCCACCGTTTTCGATCCGTTTCCCTTTTCTGGATTTCTCTCCACACTTCTACCGTTTTCTCTGCGGCTTTTTGTGGGCTAGGTCAGTTCAAAGTTCACGTGTTTCGCATCCATTGAATCAATCGGTATCGGAATTTGGTAATTTTTGGTCCCGAGCCAAAGCAACCTGTTCC